CAAAAATATTTTTTCTGTAATACGAACCTCTTTTATCAAAAAGCCGCACTTACATACATCGATAGCGTACGAACGAAAGTGATATTCTAGTCATGTTTCGAAGAGTATATAATCAGTTACTATAACGCAGTCCATACATAAATTAACAATAATTATTATTATAAATCGTAAATTATCCGAAAATACTTTTTTTACACAACAACATTGAGCTGTCCTATGGATTATTTTTGCATCAATCTTTACTGAATTTCTTCAAATTCTTCAACATTTTACAGAATTCTAGATTCAATGCTACGAAACGCGTTTTCTTTGAATGAAAACGTAGTGAAATGAGTTTTCTAACAGAAGATAACTGTAGAATATATTCTGATGTTCAATACTATCCTAACTTCTAAACAGCCTTAGAAAACGACGTAATTCGTTGAAGTTTTAGAAGAACTTAATTCTGACCTTGGCTAAGGAAGACCTGCGCCGCCATCTTGAGGATCAAAAACAATGCAATCAGCAAATTTTTTGTAAAACCATTTCGCATAATTTCCAAAATCATATTAGAGTTGACTTTTCTTAACTCACATGCTTTTTGAAGATGAACTGGTGCGAGATGCTCTAACAAAAGAGATCAGTTTTGCATCATTCGAAGCGTAACCGATGCAAATGCATTTTAAAAGAACCTGTTTCGCATTTTCTCCGAGTTGTGACTCTGTACAATGCTTTTCTTGTCGACTTAATGAGTTTAACAGCGTTTCATTTGGGAAACGCTTCGAAACGTAATCGCAAAAAGAAGCGTTTCGTATCGTTTCAAAAACTCAAGACAGCAAAACGCGTTCTATATAAGTAAAAGTACTGTGAAACGCATTCCGTCTCGAAGAAACGCTGCGAAACGCATGCCCCAATCTTGGAAACGCGTTACACAGTGCGTTTCCTTAGATATTTTACGCCATGGGTATTATTTACAAGATAATGTTAAATGGAGAATGTTCTAAAAGTTTGAACCAACAAGAACGAAGGTCAATAGTTGAAAAAGTTTTTCCTCTCTGCCTTTTTTTTAAAAGTTAATATTTATTTTCTTTTTATTATCGAACTAATGTACAACATAAATATAGATCTAAACAGTAGTTCTTCTCCCTCCTCTTTCTTCTTATTTGCTGATTCAGATGATCCAATTTTATGTAATAATTGTTAATATGTAAAATACGAATCGATATCGAGAACAATGTTTTCATCACTCGTAAAATTTTAAATATACCAGTATCTCTATCATAACACTGAGATTGTGTTTCTCAAGTTACATCCTTTTGCTTCTAAAATGACAAATGCACCTATTTCACAGTACATGGAGCGTGAACCAAAAGTCCTACGGTATTGGTTTCCCAGATGACAACAAAATGAAGACCTGTAGAATTTGTCTAAGACTGGACGATCATGTGCCACATCGAAGACAATAGATAAAAAGATTGTTAATATTACCAAATGTAAGCTGAACATTACATAAAACAACATTTCAGAAACTCTAAAAGAGAACGGTATGAATATAGATCCAAATAGTGTTAGACGTCGATTGCGTGAAAGTAGAGAAAGCTATGGTCCACCGTTAAAAAAGCCTTTACTCATAGACAAACATCGTGAGCAACGACTCATATGGATAGAAATATTTGGCAGTTTCCAGGTGTCACAAAAATTGTTCGTACAGTTACTTAGGACAATCCAAAAGCAATAAGAGTGACACTTTGATACCACATAGTAAGTTTGAGAAATCCTTCTTTCTATGCTATTTGATCATTCTTCATCGAATATCATAATAATAAAATTCCCATGAAGTTTATTTAGCTGTGACATGTAAGAGTAGAATTAGTTCATATTGTCTTCTATGTGCACTTTCGTCTTGATCTTCTCTTTTCTTTATTCTTTTTTTCTTGTGTCTTTTGATGCCTAACTCTTTACATATATATATATATTCAAAGATATTATGCCCTGTTTTTTTTGTGTATATGTACAGTTTATTATTCTGTCCTCAAGAAAGTCGAAGAAATAAAATTAGATTAAGTTTTGTCACCGTTCATCTCTGTTTTAAATGAATAAAGAAAATTTTCGCTTCTACATTAAAGTGCGTACTGCACTTAATATCCAAGCAACAACTATTCATGATGTTCTATACACTGTTTTCGATGATGAAGCTCCTTCTTTTCAAACAGTTGCAAGATAGTCTCAATAGTTTCGTGAAGATCGACAAGAGATTGAAGACAAAGAGTGACGTGATAGACTTCTTACCGAGACAACTTCTGAAAATATTGAACACGTTCATAGTATTATTAATGATGACTCTTATGTTACAATAGCAGAATTGCAAACCGAAACTGATTTGAGTCATAACACCGTTCACCGAATAATCTCCGATCATTTGAAACTTTAAAAAATGACCGCTCCTTATATATACGTAAACAGCTGACTGAGTTTGAATATGCAACGAAAATTTAGAAAAATTTGAACAAGGAACGTGGAAATTATGTGATGTCGTAACCGGTAATGAATCATGATTTTACCACAAACAAACGGATCGAAAATCTTCAAATGCTACTTGGGTGACAAGAGAAGATCCTCCATCGACAGTTGTTCAACATAATTGTTTCGCTTCAAGAATCTTGTTATGGATTTTGTTTAAGTCAACCAGTTTATTTTTAATACATTATGTTGAGCGTGGTCAAACTATCGATCATCAATATTACATCGATAATTGTTTGTAGCCTGTTATTAATGAAATCAAGAACCAAAGACACTCTTTTGATACTCGTGCAATTAAACTTCATCATAATAATAGAACATCACATTTTCATCAAGAAATACTCAGTTATCTTGAATCAGAAAGTATCGCAATATAGATGAGTTTCTAAGTAATATATACCAACCATTCAAATACAAAAAAGATCTTCTAGCCAAGGAGTAATGAGAAAATATTTTATTTTTTACGAAATTATAGCTTATTGAGTGGTGTGCACGATGTTCAAGAACCGTCTTGATTCGATGTTTTGTTACTTCAAAAAAGATAGTTTTTATGAATGGGTCAAAAGTGACCCACAATGGGGTAAAGGGTTAAAGATTTGTGCATATTTCTATCAGCTTAATACACCGGGTTTATTTCTAGATTGTATATTATCCCATAAGGGAATGATATTAAAGCATGTCTATTTCCATTTCTTGAGTTACTGAACGACTGTCTATCATTAATATCCATGCGTGTACGTGTCTTCAACTCACGAAAGAAACTTGTTTGTTCGTTATTAGAAACCATTTAGAACAAACGAAATTAGAGATACTAAAGACGCTACAACTAAACAATGATGAACTAATCTATTCAATGATTGACATTGCTATTTTTCGATCATTCAGACAGGATTGGTTTCTATTACATTTGGAAGATTATAGACTTAAGACTGGATTTCTATTCTGTAGAGGAGGGTTTTACTTGATTTGTAAAGAACATTCGATTTATTATTAAGATTAGATTAAATTTATTTAAAAAAACTTAAAACTAATAGATTTTTACTTTTATTTTTAGATGTAATAATCAATTTGATTATTATCGAATTTTTATACCTAAAATTCAGTATTGTACTTTAGATATTATTTAGTCAATAATCTTCTCTTCGATCGTTTATAATTGAGACTTAATAATGTCAATAAAAATAAAGGAAAAATAAATCCTTATTTTAGTCTGCATTCTAATATTGAGTTTATTTTATCTGAATATTTTTTATTGAATATGAAAAACAAAAATTTGTTGTTTTTAATTTAAAATCATTAAATCTTGTTCGAGAAAAGTTTATTATCATAAATAAAGTCATATTTTAGTATTAGAGAATTATAAATAATTGTCTAATAGTTAATTGAATTCGAATTATACAAATGATTCAAAAGAAGATTTAGATTAATCTAAAAAAAATTTTCTTTGAAAACAGCAAAACAAAGGAAAAGATCAAATCGATATTAGATTCAATGAAAAAAATGTTCGAATTTCGAATAAAAAAAAAGATGTATGCAAAAGTTGAATTCTCAATCGAAAGTATTGATTCCACTCCTATAGAAAAATCCGCTGAAGTCTTCTGATTTGAAATAAAAAACAAATAGACACGTTTGCTTTTTAACAAAAATCACAATGTATGGATTTTATATTGTCAAGTTTTACAAAAAGTTCGTTCCTATCATTTTTATCAGTTCTTTCACTTAGTTTTTATTTAAATCGATAATTTTCTAGTTTACCTTTTATTATGATAAAACTGAAGGCTTTTATAAGATCTTATTAAACAATCTTGAAAAATTTTAAAGTATAAATGATCAGTTCTAAATAATAAAAGTGTCTCCTAGAATAAGCTGAAACTCAGTTTTTTTTCCTATATATTATAATTATAAGTAGCGTTTTCGTCCAATGAATTCGGTGGTCATTTTCTGCAAAAATGGCCCCGTGCTTTGAGTAAATTTTTATTTTGTTTGTTAAAGATTGAAATTTTTGTCGGTTTGTTTTTGTTTTTGTTGTATAACTATTAAGTCTATCAATGAAAGCTCGCGGAGAATATAAACAATCGGTTAATATGGGGACAAATGGTCTACATTTCGAAGTCCAATCATTATTTGTTTCTGTTCATTCGATAATACAAATTGTCTAGTCACAAAAGTGAAAACAATCAATAAATATTAGTCAAATAATAATCTTCATTGATTTTTTTACATTAATTATATTTATTAAATAAATGTAAATAATATTCTAATAGAAGTTTATCATAAACATTTGATTGTTTTTAACAACTTCTATAAAATAAAAATAATAATTTCTATTTAATGTTAATTAAAATGAAGAAAACTAAGGTAAAACATTGTATGATAGAGCTAATTAAAATATAAATAAAACACACATTCTTTTATATAGATAGAAGTAGAAATGTAACAATTGAGAATGTGTTCATTTTCTATGATCTTTGCTCTCATTATTATTGTGATGATAAGAATAATCATTGTAAAGATGTTGGTTGAATAATTTGAGGTCGTTTTGTAACAATATGTTTTAATTTTGAATCAATTTGACTTGGTTTTAATAATTGTTCATGTTGACAAGGACAATATTTGTCAATAGCTTCTTTCATAGCATTAACTATATTTCGATAAACAATTTGATTTCCATCTGAAACTGAAGTTCGATCACGTAAAACACTTGTTGATTGATAATTTTTTATAGATCGATAATGAATACACATACTTGTTGAAATTTTATCTCCAACCATCTGATTATAATATACAAATTAAATTTCTATTAAAGATTTATTTAAATAAAGAAGAGAATTTCGACTAGGAATATATTTCTTCGATCAAACAATCAATTTGATAAAATACACGAAATAAAGATCAAGTGTTGAATCTGATGTTTATACATTAAGTCAAGGATAAAATTGATTATGAGAACGAAAAGAAAAACAATGAAAATGATTGACAATTTATTTAGTTCGATGTTATTTACATATAAATGTTAAGAATGTCAACATAATCAACAATTTCAATGTATTCTAATCAAAACAAATATTTCTTTTATGTTAATTGATTAAATCATTATTATAGTTAAACCCTCTAAGTCCTACAATTTTTCTTATTGAGCCAAAATTTGATAAAATTTCGTATTAGGAAGCATGTCATTAAATTAAAATTAAAAAAACATTTTAGTAAAAAATTGTTATTATAATTACTGAAACATTTATTTATTTCATTATTAATACACGTAGTTTTGATGATACAACAAAAAACAATTTTTTTATACAAAGATCAACGCAATAAAAGTTATAAATTATGTTCGTTCTCTTCTCTATTTCTTTTGTGCTATAATAAGCGTACTGAAGATGAGTTGAAAATAACTTTTGGCATATGAGTCAAAAGTTGTAGTTCTTCCGAACTTTCTATGTTACTCATTCTCTTTTCAATGCGTTTTTTCTTCAAATTATTTATCGCCGAAGGTCTTCCTACTCTTTTTCTACTTGAATAATTACCTACGAATGCAATACTAATAGACGACACATATCCGAAATATCCTTGAGTGCATAATTGGTCAAATCGATGGCCTTCATATGAATAACCTATGGTGACTCGATATTCGGACACACACATAGACATTGCATTTTGTATGTACAGAAGATAATTCTCTGGTTGAGAATTAATGGAAATAAAATAAATGAATTTTATCTTTTGCAGCGTATTGAACTATCTATGATTGTATCTGAGATATATCTCATGGATATAGATTTTGAAGAGAAGGAAAATCAACGAAAAATTTTTAAAGACCAGGTTATCGGTTAAAACTTTTTTTAGACTAAAGAAATTTGGTACGGTACACTTTTTAGTCTCATTGATACACTCTATCATTCGTACAAGCTTGTACAAGTCTCTACCAGCTTCTAATATTTATTGAAAATATTTCTCCAAGATTTTCAAAAACTCGATGATTAGAAAATTTTCAAGGTTGTACATATGTGTATCAGCAGGACTCAAGGCGTTAAAAAAATTTATATTCACAATTGAATGTACTTTACTTGATTTTATAAAACAAATATATATATTTATTTTTGTATTTGTGTAAAAAGGTCATACATATTAACAAAATCTTCTATAGCTGTTGCAAAAATAGGAATTGTTTTTAATTAGTTCAACAGTTTAAACTTAATCATCGTCACGTTCGAGATTATTATATAATACTTTTCTCCTTCTTTTTATCAAAACGATGTGAAGGTCAAATGGATTGTCATCATCATTTCGAAACGTATTGTTACTATGTTTCTTCGAGTGAATTACATTACATAGTCAATAAATGATGATCAAACAGTTCTTCTATTTATGTGAATTTGAGTTCAATTATTGATCAATATAGATTGTTAAATTATGGAACATTACCAACAAGTAGAGAAATTATCTTTGATACCTCCTGAAAATTCAAATTATTAGAAAAGATTTTTTTATGAGAAAAAAGATAAACCTGAGTTTCTGATTGTGTTCTTCTTTTTAACTTATTGAGGAGCAATATTTTCATCGTTATCATCATACTTTCGTTGAGACAACAAAAAAAAATTATATTTTATATTCTAATGTGTGCTTTTTATTTTGTCTTTTCTCTAGACTCTAACGATTGGGTTTTGACACAAGAATTCGACTGTGTCTATCTGTAATATAGTTATCATCAGAGATGGAACCGGTACCGGTCTAACTTATTTTCTGTTCTGCTTTTTGAAAACTTCGATTGGTCTTAATACTGACGTCGTTTGTATTTTACATGAATAGTTTTATTGCTTTTTACTTCGTTTTTCTCGTCCTATGCAATTCAAGGACAAACGTCGAATCTAGATATAGAACTGATACCGGTTGTCAAAAATTCAGACTGACTTCCATCTTTGGTTACTAGGAAGCTGCGGATCCACGTTTTTATGGACTCGGGCCCGAACAAAGATTAAAATTTGGACTCGAATCCGGATCTGAAAGGATCCACAGCTTCCCACTGGTTACCCTATAGCAACTATCGTCTAAATGATCATATGGTAGAAATGACTGCGTAGGATAATTAAAGAGTGCACCTGCGTATTAGAATTGAAATTAATCGAGGATTAGTATTCCAGGACAAAGAATAAGAAATTCATATGCATTACACGTGATTTTATTTCTTTGTATCGTATATAGAGAAATAAATAACATAAGATAATGATTAACTAAAATGATATTATTTGAATGATATCATATGAATTGTTTTTTATTGTGCAATAAAAATAGTGCATATATAACTAATTCTATTGATTTCTACGTTATTTTTATAAATTAATTCATATAGTAAACATTTTATTCCAAATATTTATTATTTGAAATTTAAAATAAAATCTAAAGACTAGGTATTTAAGGATAAAAATGAATATCGTTACAACAATAAAATAAAATTTTTGTAGAAAAAAATCAATAAGATTGTAGATATAAAGTGAACTTCATTAGGCAAGTGTAATATATGCAAAACTCGTTTTTTTCTTTCTAAAGATAAAAATAAAATTTATTTTGTGAAATGAGCCAAGTTTATTTCTCTAGTATGTTACTTAATGTACGTTTATATCTGTTTGTAGCTATATAGATATTTGTATCCAATCAGTTTAAGATCAAATGAATAGAATTTCGATGGATGTTACATAAAAGAAACAATATTTATCGACGATTAATATAATTTTGATCTATCGAACTTTACCGATGAATTCCAGAATATCGAAAATAATGTATCCTATATTAAGTTATAAAAATGCATTAATGAATGTCAACGTAAAACATAAATAAAATGATAATGTTAAAAGAAAATGACGATATGTCTTTTATTTGAATATCATTAGTTTACATACAAAGAAAAACTTGAGTTAATCTTTTACAAATAAAAATATTTTTATCTGTCAATTGAATTAATTTATAGAACAATGTCTATAAGAAAACCAACAATTGAAATATAGTGCAGAATCTACTTTGATATATAATCAAATAAAAATATATAAAGGTTAGCCAAAATAAGCTGAATTTATTTCAACTTGAAACAATTCTTTTGCATTAACTTTATTAAATAAGATTCTAGTAAATGAAGAAAAGCATATTAAATAAGATCAATCGATAAGATTTAGTCATCAAATGGTATATTGTTTGTGTCATTGCATAAACGTCTCTTTTTCTCCTATACGAGATATCAAACATCTATTGTCATATAGCTAAAGTTCAAATATTCATCACAAAAACACTCTATGATACTTGTAAAATATTTTAAATTTTGCATAGAAGATTGCAAAAATTGTTTGCCAAAAAAAACCAAATTAAACGTTTAAATTGATATGTGTAGTTTTTTTTACAGCAATATGTATTGTGAGATTATTATAATTGTTTTTTCATTTTTCATATCGTATTGTTTAATTATTACATCCCGACAAAAATACTCAGATTTATTAGCTGTGAAAAAAAAATACAATGATCAATTATTATTATTTCTTGAAAATTTTTATAATACATAGAAATATTTCTTTATATAAAATGACTTTATTAATTATGAAAAGTATAATGAAATGAGAGCTCTATGTGATGACGATTTTTTGCTTTGAGTCGCGACACATCTCTTCATAGTCATGAACAATAGCTTAAATTGAGTTACAGTCACGATCATGTGTGACTAATTAAGAAAAGATGTCGGTGTGTGTGTGTACGCATTCTTCATATTTAATGTAAAAATCAATAGAGAAGTCATACATATTATGTACCATGAAGGTTATTATAGTTATGTTATTTTTTCATTTGATATTTATCGAACTCTTAGAAAATTTACTTTGGATTTTTTTTCTTAATAAATTTCAAAAGCAAGTTGATGAAAAAAATTAATTAAAAAACAAAAGATATTTCATTCCAGGACTTATTCTATTTCTTATTCAAGTTATTCGCATCAAATAAGTATTACGACACAATTACATTGAATAGTATATCGTTTTGAAGAACTAACTGGATTTTTAATAATTTTAATCGAGCATAAAGTGTAATTAATGAAAGAATTGCAAAAACGGAAGTATAAAGTCAAATCAATTAACTTTACTTTATCCTTGATAGAACGACGTCAAAAAAAAAATTTAAAGTCAGTTCAACATGACTTTTATTCGACTTATTAAACCATTAATGAAAGCATGATCTTTTTCTGATAAGATCTCAGAGATAAATTTTTTTACTATTTCAACACCTTCACATTATGATCAGATAAATATTAATGTAATTACTTCTATTTGTCATGGAAAAATTTGAATCTGAAATTATTTATCTAATCAATGTTTGCTGTTTCCATTCGACCAATTACAAACAAATGTAATGAAGATACTACTTAGACATGATCATTTTAACTTAATATTAATAAAAAAAAAAGTTTAGTGGTCGCTACTTAATTTCTTAATATTAAGTGTTAAGTTTAAACTTAATTCATTTAGAAATAAGTGATTAAGTGGTTGGTATGAAGAAGATTTCATTTTTAATTTGATTATATCTGTGATAATTTCAGCTCAACAGTTTGCAACAGATGAATGACGAACTATTTTTAAGATATTTCCTGTAACTTTCTAATATCTATACGGCGTGGCCTCTGGAACTTTTTGTAGAACTAGGAATGTAACAATATCACTACCAAATTGTATTGATAGCTTACCAAGAAAATGAAATCTTTGATTTCGAGAAAGCAATTACAGATTCAAATTTCTCGACTGCG